TGATGCAGCGTGCTTGCATTCTACAATCTCTTGTTGATTCGTTGTCATTGTTTCAGGGACAACGTTTCCGTACAAACGAATCGACGTTCCTTTTTTACTTGTGGCAGATGTGTTAACCTTTTTGATTGTTTGTGTTGTAAGATCATGTTTCGTTTTTTTTTGGTCACGAGACAATTACGTTTTGAGAATAGAATCATGGAGGTACACTGCGCTCGCCAACACGATCACATTTCCTGTAATGCATGCACTGATCAGTATGGGGTAAGCGGATTGTGCTTGGAAAATGACCAGATTATGCTGCAGCGGATGCTTGAAGGATGCTCGAGAAAACAGCAAGTTATGCTTTTATATGCTTCACCAAAACGACCAAAAGAGCAGATAATCGTCATGAAAAAAGGACTCAGACCATTGTCTTGATGTGGACTGGGAGCTTTGTGGAAGTCCATGTACAAGACAATAATATTCAAGAGGACCAATTTCACAAACAAACGCTGAACGTTTGGGAGGTGTCTTATAGTGGCTGCTAAAATATTATTCCAAATCGACAAGAAGCGCTATGTATGGTCCTTCAATAGCAGGTGTGTATATAACAGCCTCATTGGACATCTGCCCTTGTTTTTCGGATGCCATTTTATGCTCCTTCTCAAAAAGGACCTGATTATGGCAAACATTATGCCGGCATAATCCGCTTTCCCCTAGTGATCTGTCGTAACGACTGTAATTGCATAGTTTCTGCCTATTTTGGCGCCTATCAGCCTCTGGCCCATTCATATCTGACGAAGGCTGTCCAATCGTCCCAACCATTCTCTGGGGTTAGGGTCCAGCGGATTCTGCCGGCAGAAACATCGGCAGAATTCGGTACTTTTTCTGGTAAGTTTCAGGCATGTTTGGTATATGGATAAAGAAATGGAGCAGAATTCGAGGTATTGCCCGCCATAAGGTTTGTATGGTTCTGCCAATTTTACTGCTTTTCGAGCAGAATCTGCCACCTTTTCACAGAATCCGCCGGTCCCTATCTGGGGTCATGTGACTATCATCACCATTAAAGTTACTACTGGTAGTTTTCAGGATTTCTACCTTAAAATTATTCTTTTAGCTTCCTCCAGATCTCCACTACCTATGATCCAGTATGACTGTGTGTGTATTCTGAACGGCATTCCTGGTTTGGGTTCAGATTTTCTCTCTACCTTCTGTGTGAACTCCAATGAGTAATTAAAAGCAAATCTTCCCCATTGCTACGCGTTTTTTGTCACATGGTTCCAGTTCGCATCCTCATTCATACCTAAACTGGCTTGAGAGGCTTAGGTTATGTACGGGCTGGTGGGAAGACCTAGTCAAGTGATCATCTGCTTGAAGTCTTGCATAACCCAACAAACACCACTACCGGTATTTTCTGATGAACTAACCGTGTTGAATGTACCAGAGTCAGCCCGGTCTTATAGACCTGCTGCGTTCAAACACCGTGATTTGGTGATAGGTAAAACTGTGCCAGGACTCAGGAGGCTACCGATTAGCGTTTCAATAGTGCTATTGTCTGGCTATTGTCTGGAGGTATACTTATACAGGTCCTCCAGGCTTCTGCGGCAGGCCAATACTAGGCAAAGTCGCCTTTCCCGCGTCATTTCTCATCAGTACTCAACGTGCCAGCAGTACTGTCAATCCCGGAGTCATCGCAAGCATCCCGCAGAGACCAATTGTAACTTAAAACCTTGGAAGAGCCGCCAAGCACACGCCTCACAGTAGATTGGCGAAAGTGCACTGTTGTTATTGCTGCGTAGTGAGCGTTGTTTGACATCGGGAAATGCTGTTGTAGTATCGCTGAAGTCAGTCTTTATACTGCATTTTTGAGCGAAGTAGCTTCCCATGATAGCTTTGTCGCGGGTCTGTGCGTGATCCTGTCCAGCTGAATCAATATTGTCTGTGCTTCTAGCTGTAAGAGGACTCCGACTTTGATAAGTCACATGTAGGTCGTATGATTTCACAATGCTCTTGTTGCACCAAGAATCCACTAAGATTGGTTCGACCAGTCTCTCTGAGCTCCGCCGACCACCCACAGCCCAGGGCGAAACAGCACGAGTGCATGTACTGTTTAAAAACGTGGAAGTATGAGTTGGTAACAGTACAAGTAGGAGGCTAAGCAGGTCTATACAAAACTGCGTGTACTTTATCAAGGAGTAGTTCAATACACATTCTCTTACCAATGCTTTGCTGTTCACTACACTTCCCTGCGATCAGTTCATCCAGTCACGTATATTGTGTCCTTGCAATTATGTATTATATAGAGTACATAGCAGACTCAGCGGAGGACGTTCAGGTTTGTTGTAACTCTGAGTTTCATGCTGCTAGGCAATCATCAGACAACCCAGCAGTATGCTCATAAATCCATAGGGCCACAAGCATAAACAAATTTAGCCCTAAATCTGGCCGGTGTAAGGACATAGGTATGGGGAAAAAGCTGGCGCGGGCCAAGGCGCGACAGTATAAGTGCTAGGAGGGTGGTGGGCAGCAGGCAGCGCCTTGGGGTGAGCATGAAAGCGCGGGGAGAGGCAGTATACCGCGGATGGGTCGAGGTACTAGGAGGATGGCGGGCCAGTGAGATCGCTACATTCTAGGGGGTCTTTGGGTGACGGGCAGGCGTGAGCAGAGTGGCATAGCCAACAACAGGGGACTGTGTTATTTTAAGAACACAATCCCCTCGGATTTGGGTTTATCATATACATTGTAGAGTACGTAATCGTGTAGGGTGCTCAATTCCTGTACAGGGTGGATCTTTCAGTACAATAAAGAGAGATGTGGAGGAAGAGGTGTAACGTTGGTGAGGTTCGCGTTTGTTGAGAAGAATCAAGCAACTTTCCGAAGAGTACTGGATGCCAGTAAAATGCTAGGACAGCGCTATACCCATAGTGTAGAGCGATCTCAAAGAAACAAGTGTTGAGACGGCGCGAGGTTCACGTTAAACTGATTAAGATGTCTGCAAAACAGGCTGCGAGAAGGGGGGGGGAACAAAGGCGCTATCGTTAGGTGAAGGTGATAACTCGATAAGTCTGTGAGCTGAGAGCTACGAACCCGCAGAATGGTGATGTAAAAAAAATTTTTTTCACGGTTCGCGTGAGACTTGGTTTCTCTATATAGAGGCCGAGGTTTCGGCATCCGTAGGAACGCCACCACCCGTCAAGGATCAAGGCGCAGATGCAGCTCCTAAAGCGGTGGGAGGTGAGTAGATCAGCTCGCCAGCATGTGGTCAAAGACCGAAAATCCCATTCACTGCATCCATGTTTTCCTCGTGCCAGGCCACGAGTTCCCAATTAACTGTGGGTCGCAGCACGGCTGGCAATAATCCTTCCGCTTCCAAGCAGGACTTGAGCCTGGTACCCTCTGTTTCTCAATCATGGTCTTAGACCATCCCACAATGCCTGCCTGCTGATGTAAATGCATAAGAAAATCAAGTTGGTATGGGCTGGCCGGCGAAGGTGCTACAAGCACACAGGAACGAACAGGCAAACAAACAGGAGACAAGCAACATCACCACAAGCGTATTCACGCAGCCTTGCGGACAAGGTCACGAAGGTAGAACTTGTTTCAAGACAACATTTGGGCGAGAGGTCCGACCTCATGTTGAGGAAGTGGGTTTTTATTATCCGAGGTAATCTCCAGTTACATGTACATGTACTTGGCCAGACAGAGATTGCAAGGCTTCGAGATGTCGGAGTATGGTTCGGCTCTCCTCACAACGGGCCATCTACTGCTGTATGACTTGTTTCCATCCTCAAGTCTCCAAAAACGTTTTTGGCTAGTACCGTTGAGCTCCCAAACCTTCGGTGACGACTTGTTTGTTGACCCGCGCTGGATTTTGTCTTGAATGTCCCTTACATTAGTCTGGTGTACTCCGTGATGTTGTCGACCGCGGTCACATTTGCCTGGCACATGATAATCAATGTAAGACAACCGTACCATCCGAGGAACATAAAGGGGAACGCTGGGTGTGGGGGGGGGGGGGGATGCAACAGAAATATCAGCACATTCGCGAGGCACGCAAGCTGTTCACGAAGCTTCATTTCCGGTGCTTGTGGGAGGCACATGACCCTCCTATGCAAGTACTACACCAGTCAAGCAAAACGCATTTAGAGAATATTTCGAAGCCGGGTCATAACCTTGACCACAGAGTGTTGCAGATCATCATCATAATTTTTCAAGAAAAGGGGTTACGTCGGTCCGCACGTTAGGGCGCACGTACGGAAGGTTTGAAAAATACAATGCTGTGAAAGATTCTCTTTGTACGCAACTTCACGCAAGTCCCCACAGCATATTATTCGACAGCTCGCGGGTCATACAAGTACATGTATTTCTGGCATGCAATGACGATTTCAATGTACATGTATGTTGTGTGTGTGCGTGTTTGTGTGTGTGTGTGTGTGCGTGTGTGTGTGTGTGTGCGCGCGCGTGTGTGTGTGTGTGTGTGTGTGTCTGTGCGTGTGCGTGTGCGTGGTGCTAGCCCCGGCGCTGATATGTACCGGAGTAAGTTCTGATACGTTCGTTGACTGACTGTGGGTAGTTGCCTCCTTGCCTTCTACCGCGCATCCTACACAGTCATGACATTGTATTTACCAGTTAGGATGTCTCTGCCCAGGACTAGGCATATGCGGATAATGCCGGCAGAAAAATTGGCAGAATTAGGTACTTTGTCTGGTAAGTTTCATGCATGTTTGGTATGTGGATAAAGAAATGGAGCAGAATTCGAGGAATTGCCCGCTATAAGGTTTGTATGGTTCTGCCAATTTCGCTGCTTTTCGAGCAGAATCTGCCACCTTTTCGAGCATTATCCGCACACCCCTAGCCAGGACTGTACATGTAGTGGAATCTCTATGACTGTACAGTATTAGTTGATCTACCAGATATACATGTACTAGTTCATGAACATTGTACATGCAATGATGTCAATGATATTAATGATGTCAATGATGTCCAAACTCATAATTTTCGAATCTCATTCTGTTTACCATGTTTACTGCAAAGCAAGATGATGCTATTATGATGTCATGATGAGGTAGCTACGTATTGTACATGTAGCTCAGAGCCTCAGACAGCTCCGTCAGACAGAGCATGAGCTTGTAATTGTGTTTCCAAGAATCGAATCCAAGTACACTCACTTCCACATACCGATTACCAGTATTGGCAATGGCAGTAACAATAACATGCGTAGATGTAGATTGTAGGTCTACAGAATGATCATAGCTTTGTACAGTAGAGTCTACACTGACACTGATAGTGATAGTCTGTGCAGCCAGCAGTGCACTTCACTTGTACTTGAGGAACTGAGCTGTCTGAGCCTGATCTGAGGTTCGTAGAGTTGACAACCGAATTTTATTTTATACATGAATGCGATTCAAGACAATGGCATAAAAATTGATCTTCTGCTTTTAAAATGTATCACTGGTACTGGTATTAAAAAATATGGTATACTTCAGTCAGTCGTTGGCCAAGCTTGGTAGTCGATAGAAATGGCTTCTCTCAAGTGCAATGGCTGTGACTCATCGAGCACAGCTCTAAAATTTGTCTCTTGCCTGCACACGCTGTGCGAAACCTGTCTGCAGAACAGCATTTCGTTTGACGGATCAATCAAATGTCCGAAATGTTTGTCCATCACCGCGCTGCCTGTAGGCGTTGAGCCATTGCGATCGCTTCCTAATGTTGTGCGCCGGGGAGAATCTGTGGCGGGAGACGAGACGCAGGGGCAGCCCGTGTGTGAAGAGTGTGGAGATGATACCATCGCCACCAGCGGGTGTGAGAACTGCCAGGTGAAAATGTGCGATGTTCATGCTGGTGCTCATCCAATATTCAAAGCCACCAAGGGACATATCGTCAAGCCATTATCGGTATCTCAAGTGGAGCAAGCCTCGTCTTCTGCAGGATCGACCAGCAGATCTGCTACGAAGCACAGGTGTGTACTGCATACAAGTGAGTTTATTAATGGATTCTGCGTTCAGTGTAACCAGCTGCTGTGCCCAAAGTGCAAACAGGCACATTCCCACAAGAGAGACCATCAAGTCTTGGACATTGCCCGTGCTGGTCAGAAGACTCGGGATCTGCTAGCAGATAAGCTTGGCAGCAGTTCATCAACATGTGATGGGATCATAAGCCAAGCATTGAGCAATGTTCAAACAAACATTCAGAAGCTCAATGACCAAACAGAGCAGGCTTCAGCAAAAGTCAACCAATTCTTCAAACTGCTCATCGAGGCAGTTGAGAAGCGCCAAAATGATCTCCTTGCAGAGCTGGATGACATACGATCCAAAAAGACGCTGTCATTGGAGAAACAACAATGTCGACTTCAGGAGTGTCTATCTCAAGCGGAGAGCGCATCGGATATTGTGAAGTCATTCACTAACGATGTTGAGCTGCTCCGTATATGGACATGGGTCGACGAGTCATTGAACAAAGTGATGCGAACCGCTGAAGAAGATAAAGTGCCATGTGTGTCCAGTGGACTTGTGTTTGCCAGCACTGACATCACACAACTACTGAATGACATTGGCAAGTCTGGTGCTGTACTGGATGTAGCTGATCACGCCGTACTGGATTGTCCAGACAAATCCATGACTCATGATGATGTTATACTTACTGTTTGCATGACGTCATCACCTGATGCTGTCCCTGCCAGTGCTACCACTACTCCTTCATACAGTGTCAGTCAGGATCACCTCGACAACATCGGATTGGAGATTTCCGTATGCAATCTTGACGTGGACGACTTTCCATCTGTTCGTACTCGCTGTGAATCATTACCTGGCCGTGTAGAGATTGGACATGATCGATTGGCAGCTGGTCGCTACAGTGTATCGGCTATGATCGGCAACAGGCACATTCAAGGCAGTCCACAGCAACTCATAGTAGCATCTACTCCCATTCGGCCACTGTTTGATAACAGTCGATGTGGTAGTGGGTTGAAGATCACCAATGATGGTCGCACACTGAGTAAGGGCGGTGGTAGTTGGTCATCAGCATGTACCACACCTATGGTGACCGATACTGGTAGCAGTACACTGAAGGTGACGATTGACAAGACTGGATATGGTGACATCTTCCTCTCTGCCTGTTCATCCAGTAATCCAAAGCTGGAACAATACCAACAGGAAAAGTCACAGTGTTTTGGTTGGAATAGCCGTAGGTATGATGCAGGCCACCATACCGGCACAGCCCTTGATCGACGCTGGCAAACTGGTGACATCATTCTTCTCACCGTTGATCATGATCGTCACACTCTCACTGGTAGACACGAGAGAACGGGCGCCACAGAAACCATCCCGAACGTCACAGGTAACCTGTACTGGATTGTTGCACTCGACGACTTAGGTGACCAAGTATCACTGGAGTGACAATTGAAATATACTTTGGAACAGTTTGCGGATCATTGCAAGAAACATCCAATCCATCGCCATGTGGGATGGACACAAAATGTTTTGACAGAAAATAGCTCCTACTTTTGATTGCTCAGATGACGATTGTTTGCGTCTTTCTCAAGCTAAGCTTTCTTTTCTAATATGTTGGTTGCTACTGCGGCTGATAATGCCTGCTTGAATTCTACTATCTCTTGTTGATTTGTTGTCATTGTTTTAGGGACAGTGTTTCCGTTCAAACGAATCGACGTCCCTTTTTTTCTTGTGGCAGAAGTGTTAACCTTTTTGATAGTTTGTGTTGTAAGACTTATATTGCGTTTATTTTGGTCATGAGACAATTACGTTTTGCAAATAGAATCATGGAGGCATCACATTTCCTGTAATGCATGCACTGATCTGTCGTCACGACTGTAATTGCATAGTTTCTTCGTATTTTTGGCGCCTACATATTTTCATGTTTTGCTCATCAGCTTCTGGTCCATTCATATGTGACGAGTTGTGTCCAACTGTCCCAGCACTTCTCTGGGGTCACGTGATTATCATCACCATTCACGGTACTACGGGTAGGTTTCAGGATTTCCATCTTAAAACAAATTATTAGTTTCCTCCAGATCTCCACTATTGAATCTGTGACCCATTATGGGTGTGTATTCTGAACGGCATTCCTGGTTTGGGTTCAGATGTTTTCTCTACCTTCTGTGTGAACTCCAATGAGTAATTAAAAGCAAATCTTCCCCATTGCTACGCGGTTATTGTCACATGGTTCCAGTTCACATCCTCATTCCTACTTAAACTGGCTTGAGAGATTTAGGTTATGTACTGACTGCTGGCAAGACCTAGTCACGTGAGCATCTACTTGAAGTCTTGCATAACCCAACAAACACCACTACCGGTATTTTCTGATGAACTAACCGTGTTGAATGTACCAGAGTCAGCCCGGTCTTATAGACCTGCTGCGTTCAAACACCGTGTTTTGGTGATAGGTAGAACTGTGTCAGGACTCAGGAGGCTACCGATTCGCGTTTCAATGGTGCTATTGTCTGGAGGTATACTTATACAGGACCTCCAGGCTTCTGCGGCTGGCCAATACTAGGCAAAGTCGCCTTTCCAGCGTCATTTCTCATCATTAGTACTCAACGTGCCCAGTACTTTCAATCCTTTTATGCCAGGGTATCATTTTTAGACAAGTCCTAAGATTATGCCAGAATTTATGCGAGCATAATCCGCCAAGGGCTATACCGATGGTAAAGGGCCAAGCACACGCCCCACAGTAGACGGGCGACAGTGCACTGCTGTTATTCTGTGTAGTGAGCGCTGTTTGACATCGGGAAATGCTGTAGTAGTATCGCTGAAGTCAGTCTTTATACTGCATTTTTGAGCGAAGTAGCTTCCCATGATAGCAGCTTTGTCACGGGTCTGTGCGTGATCCTGTCCAGCTGAATCAATATTGTTTGTGCTTCTAGCTGTAAGAGGACTCCGACTTTGAGAAGTTACATGTAGGTAGTATGATTTCAAAAATGCTTTTGTTGCACCAAGAATCCACTAAGATTGGTTCGACCAGTCTCTCTGAGCTCCGCCGACGACCCACAGCACAGGCGATACAGTACGAGTGCATGACATTGTACTGTTTAAAAACGTGGAAGTATGAGTTGGTAAGAGTAAAAGTAGGAGGCTAAGCAGGTCTATACAAAACTGCGTATACTTTATGAAGGAGTAGTTCAATGCATATTCTCTTACCAATGCTTTGCTGTTCACTACACTTCCCTGCGATCAGTTCATCCAGTCACGTTGAGCTGCGCTGAAGACACTTAACAGTAACATGTTAGCCAGGTCAAACAGCTGTCCGGATATTGTGTCCTTGCAATATGTATCATATAGAGTACCTAGCAGACTCAGCGGAGGACGTTCAGGTTTGTTGTGACTCTGAGGTTCATGCCTCTAGGCAATCATCAGACAAATGATACTCGGATCTACCCAGCAGTATGCTTTTAAACACATAGGGCCACAAGCATAACAAAATTTAGCGCTAAATCTGGTGTAAGGTACGAGGGAAAAAGCTGGCGCGGGCCAAGGCGCGACAGGAGAAGTGCTAGGAGGGTTGTGGGCAACAGGCAGCGCCTAGGGGTGAGCATGAAAGCGCGGAGAGAGGCAGTGTACCGCGGATGGGTGGAGGTGCTAGGAGGATGGCGGGCCAGTGAGATCGCTACATTCTAGCTAGGGGGTCTTTGGGTGACGGGCAGGCGTGAGCAGAGTGGCATAGCCAACGACAGGGGACTGTAATATTTTAATATCACAATCCCCTCGGATTTGGATTTCTCATACATTGTACAGTACGTAATCGAGTAGGGTGCTCAATTCCTGTATAGGGTGGGTCTTCCAATACAATAAAGAGAGTTGTGGAGGAAGAGGTGTAACGTTGGTGAGGTTCACGTTTGTTGAGAAGAATCAAGCAACTTTCCCAAGAGTACTCGATGCCAGTAAAATGCTAGGACAGCGCTATACCCATAGTGTAGAGCGATCTCAAAGAAACAAGTGTTGAGACCGCGCGAGGTTCACGTTAAACCATGTCCATTAGGTAACTAATGGCTGCAAAGCAGGCAGCCTGAACATAAGAGGGAGCAAAGCGAGAGGGGGGAACAATGGCGCTATCGTTAGGTGCAGGTGAAAACTCGATAAGTCTGTGAGCTGAGAGCTACAAACCAGCAGTTGCGGCAGAATGGTGATGTAAATGCATAGGAAAATCAAGCTGGTAAGGGCTGGCCGGCGAAGGTTCTAAAAGCACGTTGGTGTGTGCGGATCGGCCATCACCTGGTTTGCCAGCTACCTAACTGCGCGAGAGCAGATGGTCTGCATTGGGTCAACCAAGAGTCAGGCCACTTCCTGCACGTGTGTGTACCACAAGGATCTGTGCTCGGTCCTGTTCTATTTTCCATTTACACCCGCGACGTCCCCTCCGTCCTGCACCCTGTACCCAGCATCCAGTTTTTTTGTTTTTGTTTTTTTACAAAAAACCACACGCCATTTGACGGCACAAAGCAGCAAGGCAGCGATGAGACATATGGAATGGCAAGAGGTAGCGGACGACATACATTGTATTCCTCGCAGAGTTCTGTTGGGGCTGTCTCTGCCACGCTTACGACGGCAGTCACCAACCTAGCTGTTTGGCTACAGGCGAGGGGCCTTGTCCTCAACCCTACCAAAAGTGTGTGCGCATGTGTTTGTTTGTGCGTAAGTCTGAGGGTGTGTTTGTGTATAATTATGCATTCGGATGCCTGCTACTGGGCGTTTGTGGCAATGTGTGGTGTGCCTGCTCTCCTATCCTACATATTATTTATTTCTAATTTGCTCTGTTGTGCGCTCCTGCTCATTTTTCTCACTTCGTATTATTTTCTGTTTGGCGTACATGAGCAGTGCTGAAACCGAGACCCTTGGTCGGTTGAGCTGCTCTTGCCCCGCCTCCACTGCTTCGGCTGCCATCCCTATGTGTATCCCTGTGCGTTTTGGCGCCGGTGTTTGCACCATGATGGTTTGTGGCTATTTTGTAAAAAAGAGAAAAAAAGCCGAGCTGTGACCTTTCTTCCTCACCGACAGGTGGACAACCCTATCGTAACTGTCCAGTGTCGTGGAGTAGCCGTTCCAACAGCATCGACTACCACATACCTCGGTGTTGTACTTGATAGTAAGCTTTCATGGGACGCTCAAGTCCACCTAATTGTCAGCAAGATTACCCGTAAGATTGGTGCGCTGTGGCGAGCCCGTCGCTCCCTATCCCGATCTGCACGGAGTCTCTTCGTCCAGGCTGTTGTCATCCCTGACATAGTCTATGGCAGTAACGCCTTCGTCCCCGCACTCCTTGGTCGCCAGCTTGATCACCTGGTCTGCTACAGAATAGGGCTATCCAAGCCATCGACGGCCACCCACCCTACACAACCGTGCATCCCCTACTGGTGCAGCACGGCTTGTACCGGATAGGCGAACTCAGCAAGCGCAAGCTACTACTAGTGTTTGTCTGGAGGTGCCTTCACGGGAAAGCTAGTGCCACGTTGTCTGTACTGTTGGTCAGATCTGCTGGCAGGAGAACCTGCCATCAGAGGTCCAGTGGTCTGCTCAGTCAGCCATGCTTCACTCGCTCTGGCGTTTCTCGGCCGTCCGTCGCAGGACCTGCACTCTGGAACCTGCTGCCGGATGACGTTCGAACCATAGCAAGACAGAAATAGTTTAGCATAAGTTGCCTACCATATTGTTGCTCAGACTATCCCGCTCCCTAGCTCTCCTCGACCACCCTGTCACCCCTGATACTCGCTTGACTCCTCTGTCAGATACTCCTTCTTTCGTATTTTTCTAATTCCTGTCCTCTCTTTTCTAAATGCGACTTATCCATTCGCCTTTATATCATTGGGCCTAGTTCCCGTTTATTGTGCGAATTGAAATAAACCAACCAACCAACCAACCAACCAATATGACAGTACATGCACATTATTATGTACAGAAAAAGTACTCAATCTGCGAACTGAAAAAAGTACTCAATCTGCGGACTGAAAAAGTACTCAATCTGCGAACTGAAAGAGTACTCAATCTGCGGACTGAAAAAGTAGATCAAGAGGAGTAAATTGTATACATGTGCATGCACGAGTACAATGTGTTACTCAATCTAGGCATGGCCGGGTAATGCTAGTTATTTGCTGCCATAACTTCTCCTTCCATCATGACCGAACATCAACTATACATCAATTTCGAGCAATATCGATAGCCTGCAGTCGACTAGTCATAATGACTGCTAGAATCCAGAGGTCATGACTTCGTAACATGCATAATGTACAAATGTAATGTACATGTACATGTACACGGAGTTTTGCGGACTACCCGCCACTATCTCGTCCGCCCCGGGATACCTGATGAAGGCTGATTCACTCGCATCTTCTGCTACATCATGTACAGTGTCAGTGTGAGAAAGAACTTTGAAGAAGACGAGTTTGAGCACACAAACACTGTATTGCCATGATTTCTACCCTGCTTTTCATTGAAAACACTATCCGCATGACCTCCGAACCCTTTACCATGCAGACCACCAGCCCTGATCACGTGCATTGTACACAATTGTATAGCCTACAAACTAGAACTGTGGTATAATCGTGTAGTTATGCTCCTACCTCCGAGAGGATGCCAAATTATGCTCCAAATTTTCAACCACCAAATTATGCCAATAAGTATGCCGGCATAATCCGCCGGTGCCTAAGCATTACTCGCCCATGCCTAACTCAATCTGGGGACAGAACTGCTTCGTCCTTTGACGCGCTTTGTGGACTCATCAGCGCAGCACAGAGAAAATGAGGCCGAACCTGATACATGTAGTAGAGAGGTCAAGATGCACGTTATTTCCGACGTGACGCACAATTTCACTTCAAATTTGGCGTAAAACTCCAAATTTTGACGTGAGCTGCAGGTCACTACTGGCGTTGTTTTTCGACGCGCGAGCCAAATAACG